ACATAGACCGGCCGATGTCTTTCCACACAACGAAGACCTTTATCAGGAGAGTATTCAAGTTCCACACAATGAAGGCCTTAATCAGGAGAGAATTCATGTTACCAACGAACTCAAAGCTCGAACAAAGGAGAAACAGTGGACAGTGGAAACTAATCAGAAGAGAGTTCAAGACCTCAAGGTGCAACGAACTTGAGCTCGAACAAATGAGAAACAGTGGACAGTGGCACTCTCCCGATCAGAAGAGAATTCAAGATCTCAAGGTGCAACGAACTTAAACAACAAAAGAGAAACAGTGGACAGTGGCACTCTCCGACATAGCCGACTAGCCAAGAATCAGAAACAGTGGACAGTGGCACTCTTCGATATAGCTAGGAGAAATAGTGGACAGTGGCACTCTCCGACATACCCGGCGGGCCAAGAATCAGAAACAGTGGACAGTGGCACTCTTCGATATAGCAAAGGAGAAACAGTGGACAGTGGCACTCTCCGATATAGCCCCAAAGGAGAAATAGTGGACAGTGGCACTCTCCGACATACCCGGCTTTCCAGACCTCAAGGTTCAACGAACTCAAAGCTCGAACAACAGAGAAACAGTGGACAGTGGCACTCTCCGACATAGCCGACTACGAGAATCGAAGCCGTTGCTGAGTTTAGACTACGTATCGGACAGTCGAAGTCGTTGCTGAGTTTAGACTACGTACCGGACACGACTGCTTGGCAAAACACCTTCGCAGATTGAGAGTATACATTCAACCCACATGCCCTCTATGTAACCTAAAGGAGGAAATGGAGAAGACCCACCTGATTCGGTGTCCAGCCCTATAGACAACGATGGAAACCCAGAGATACTGGGAAGTAAGAAGACAGCCATGGGGTGAAACTGAAGTCAACGTTTTAGGGCTAATGATAAATATCATAAAGCCTGCCATTTGAAATATTTATCTCTCTCCACATCGAAACCTCTTCAAAATGTCTTCACAATAACTCGAGGTGACCATTTCCTTCTTGGAAGTCTATCACTCTCACTCCTTTTGAATCTCAAAAAATAGTGACCGTGACCTTCTAAGCAGACCTTTCAACTTTGAACTTGACAAGGCTAGATGTTCCCTTTGGATGGCACCCTTGATTGAATTATGTTTTCTGAATCAAATTGGTATATCTGGGTTTCACCTCCAGTTCAGCTCTTAGGATCAGTTGTTCCTGCAACGCTTTTGAAACCAACCGTACCCACCGAGAGCTTGCTCAAGTCAGGACTTTCAGTGAGAATTGAAAATTCTGATCTGTATGCGATTACTTCTTCACTGGCAATTTCCATATTGGTAACTTATAGATCTGCACAAGAGATTTCTTGTTGTGGTGGGTTTCCATCCTCGCGAGTCGTCATCAAGTAGCACTTCTAACTCTTCAAAGTGTTTAATCCAATCATAACTGACCGCTCTACATGACGCAGAGTTCCTATAAAACTATTGTAAATCCTCTATGATCCGAAGAGGTTTCCAATTTAATTTAACTAAAAATGCAACCTTAGCTCTGATCTCGAAATTGGTCATTTGAAGAGTTGAAAATGGGGTGTGTGATAGACTTACCTCCACGTGGCGCACCCTGGGCAACGTATACTCATACGGCAAAAAGTTTATTATTCGGCAGTTGACTTCTGACTTCAAACTACCATAACCCCACTGGATGCCATATTCTACCACTTCCACAGTAATCATCCTACCTTTTCTCTGCCTTTGTGTCTGTCTCTTTTACGACTGTAAACCAATCTTCTGCTCCCCATCCCTCGACTTTCTGTTACTTTGATGTTCCTTCCCCCTGTGAAGCCCGAAGTCAGTTAAAGAGCTAATGATAACTATCAAAACGCCTGCCATTTGAAATAAATAAGAGTTGAAAATTGTCAGTTATTTTGAGATGCAACACGTCTTGATTCTGACCGTACATAGAATGACTGGACACTTGTTATTAAGGAAGCTTTAAAAACATGTATGATCTTGTGAACCTTTATCCCATTTAGGGTTATGTCACTTTCTGACTTACTCTCGTACTGAGCTAAAGGTTCAAAAGCATTTTTGCATTAAAGCAGCTTACGTTGGGAACTTTCCTATAGAAGATTTAGGATTGCCAATACTTAGTGAAAATAGTTCGATTATTCACAATAATGTACAGTTTAAAATAGATCGGACAATCAA